TTCTTCTCCTTCTCAAACTCTGCTCTTTCCATATTTAAATTCTTTTCTGCTGTCAGAAATTTCTCCGTCTCTAAGTCCAGTAATTTCTTTAACTCATTCAGATCATTCTCAGACTTGTGGAACTTCTCAGTCAAATTCTTTATCTCTGTATTATTCCTTGAAAAGTTCCTCTCAGCAGTTAGTTCATTTTGAACTTTTTGGAATTTATAGAACAAATCATTATTAGTCTCAATCCTTGTTTGTATCTCTTTATGACATTCCATTCTGACATCATTCAAAGAATTTTTAAGTTTATCAGTTTGATACTTGGATTCATTCTCAACTCTTTCTAACTTTTCTTTATGCTCCCGATTCAAAGATTCAATACATTACTCATTACCATAATTTTTAATGTATAAATTTCTGTAATTCTCTTTATGGTTCACAATGCTCTTTTCTAGCTCAACAATCTTCTCTCTCATCTCCTTTATGAAATTTGCCATCAAAAAAAATTGATCAGTTAAAGATCTATGCAGTGAAATCAGATAAAAAGAAACAAGAATAGTTAAGCTCAAAAAGAATAGAAAAACACAAAAAAACTGATGAGAATTTAGAAAAACAACGAGAAACTGTCAAAAATCAGTAAAAACAGTCAAAACTGTTGAAAACAGTCAAAGACAGTTAAAACTGATGAAAAACAGTTTACGTGACGCAGAACAGTTCAAAGATCCTCAAACAGTTAAAACACACACAAAACAGATATACAAAGATCCAAAAATAAAATCTAAAAAAAATTAAAACTCAAACAATTATAAACCTAAAAATAAAACTGTCCAAGTCCAAATTAGACAAAACAGTTTAAGTACATATGACCCAATTACAAACTAATTATAAACTGTAACATAATCCCTTGATATGATTACACCAAATGAAATGCTTGATCAATTCAAATGGTTGATGTTGAAAGGAATTCTTTGATTGAAGCGTGTAAGAGATGTTACAATCCTTGATTCCTCTAGCAGTCTCTATTTGTGCTTCGTCCTGAATGACAGTAAAGTTGAAAATGGAGCAGCTTGTAAACAGATTTTGTGCACTAATCTGTCCAAAACAACCAAGTCAAATACAGTGTAAAAACAGTTTACTGCATGATTAAAAACAGCTTTCACTAGACTTGATTAAAAGGATCAAAACATGATTTGAAAACTGCTCAAAACAGCCTCTAAATCCTTATCAAAACAGCTTTGAACGAAACTGTTCAAAAGACGAGCTTATCAAATACGTTGACTGTCTAAACCGCACCCAGCATGATCAAGAAATTAGATCACCACTCACAGCAAGATAAAATATGTTTACTTACTGCACAACTACACAGCTAGAGATTCAAATCACTCAAGCACTCACAGCAATAAGACTAACAGCAAACACTCACAATTCTTATGTAAAACAGCAATTAGAACCTGTCACCTGGTTTAAACACTCATAATACTAACCTGTTCACTCAGCTTCAAACAACTTACTAAACAACAGCTCAACAACCAGATTTTAAGCTGCTCACCAAACAGTTTAAGAATACAATCAAATCTGCTCAAAACACACAGTTTAACAGGTTCCTGCACCAAGAAGAACTAACTGCTATTTCAACAATTGACAGTCAATCTTTTTGATTCAAAATTCATGGAACAGCAAGCTATTTGTTCGAATTTGTCAAGCAATCTGTCTACCTGTTATCTTGTTACCACTTGGGCTGCTGTTCCAGTCCACAAAATCATAAACACAATAAACAATTCACAAATCTAACAGCAGGACAGAAAAATCAACAAGAAAAGTTTACTTGCTGCTGCTCATAATCCCGAAGGCAAAACAGGTTCCTGTTCAAATCAAACTTGACAATCAAACTGTCAGCTTCACTTTAATCAAAACAGTTAGGACAAAGACGTATAAACGAGCAGTCTTAAACAGAGAAAGGTTGCTGTTCGATTTGAAGCCAAGACCAAAATCCGATCAAGTTGTCTGTTACCTGTTAAAATCCGATCAATGCTTCACATAGCCTAAATCGGTCACGATGACCACCACATGAATGATCTGTCCGGAGACTTATCCTCTCAACTCTCCAGTCAAGATTCGAAATAAACTGTAGGCGATTTAGAGTCCGATCAATCTTGATGCTTATCCGATGAGTAGTCAGCTCAAGATTCTTAATCGATATACCACAATCGGACAGTGCGAGACTTTGAAATAAGGAACCCTTGAGCGATTTACTAAGACCTCGTGCGATTTAGTAATCCGATCACTAGTCTGCTTATGTGTTAATCGAATCCAGTCACTAATCCGGTCAAGAGGTGATCGGTTTAGGTATAAACCGCTCAAAGATCAACCCTAAACCTGAGATTGATGGACTTACCTGTGATTTGTGCGAATCCGGACAATTATCCGGTCAAGACTTCTACGGTTTAGCTCCTTAATCCGCTGAAATGGTGTGCGGTTTATACTTGTCCGCTCAATCTGAGTTCTGCGATTTAGCTTCAACCTTTGAAGCGATGAAAGGTAAGAACACAGGCGGACTGTGAAAGAGATGGATAATGAAGAAACTGGACCTTGATAATGGGCTAGGCTTTTGAAATTGGGCGGTTTAACAAAAAGGTAAGTAAACTCAAGATTAAAAAACAGATTAAAAACTATCAAAAACACAAAAACAGAAAAAACTTTAAAAATAATGGATCAAAAACACTGTTTTTAAAAAAAATCAAGAACATGAAAAAAAATTAAAAAACACAAAATCCAATCAAAACTTGAAAAATAATGATCAGATCAAGAAATTGTGTGAATAACAAATATTCACGATTCTAAAACGCACATTTTGATCATGATCTTAACACRAAAACATAAAAATTTAAAACAAAATCGGATCAAACTCTAAAGAACATGAAGAACTCAAAAAAAAATTCAAAAAAAACTTTAAAAAATCTTCAAAAACTTGATCTATTTCTCTGATTTCTTGCACACTTGCTTTGATACCAATTGTTTGTCCCTAAATTTACTGATCAATCTTCATGTTATCTTCACAACAATGGCAGATCKATGATTTATCTTGTAAGAACATCAAGAACATGTATATGATAGTTGAGAGGAAAAGTCAAACATCAAAGCTCAGTCAAACCTCTTATTTACGTAATATGAATATACAAATGAGCTCTCTTTCTTTCTAATTACAAAGACAACTCCCTATTTATATGGTCAAACCTACTAACACAAGTCAAAGTCAAACCTGTCTAATAAAAGTCAAACACGATGACTTTTACAATTATAGACAATATTTAACTTTCAARACSAATACAATTAATACTGATTTTCAGTCCTAACAAACCTACATCATGTTTTTTTGAAATGAAGTATGTCTTTTGACCAACATGATAAATCTTATAGTTTGGAAAACATCTACATAAGATGGTTTTCTGTTGGTATATTTGGTCAGTTGCTTTTGCTGCAGGTATTGACATATATTGTGAAATTCTACCTAAAATTGAAGCTATCCTATCCTTTCCGCCAGCCCGAGGTGCTACATGGTCAAGTTTAGGCAGTTGAGACGGTTGTACTTTTTGATAATGTGATTAGTTATGTGGATTTAGTGAGTTATTTGGTGACTATACCAATACCCAACTTGTTAACCGACTTAGGGGCTGTTTGTTTATGTATTGGTTCACCCCTACCGATAGCTTAATCCATGTATGACTTAATCCAAACAACCAAACAGCCCCTTACTGTTATTTACATGTTACTGTATCAAAATACAATTATTGTTAAATTCTGTTTACATGTGGCATATTAGTAGGTGCTCATACGTTTAACTGTATATACTTTCATCTCGAAAAGCTAATGAAAGTGTATATGTTATACATGGTGTCACATACACGATGGGAACATAATTGATATTTAAAAAAACACATACTGAAAGGCGGATAACATATAAAAAATACTAAACGGCATAACCAATAGCCTTAATAAAAACAATTTAAACGAAATCTAAACTACAAGGCGACGACGTCGCATGAACATACGTTAGTTTGACATCAACAACTAAACACCGAAAAAGATAACAAAACATAAGTAATTGAATTCTAATTAATCTATCAATTCTGAGCAATTACGTGAGTCGTGGCCACTACGTTGTCCACACGTTGCACATTTTCGTTTTGCTTTTTTGCTGTTATTTTGTATTTTCTCGGATACACTTACCAGCCTCTTGCCAGTGCCACAACTCTTGTTCCTTATTCCAGATGGTGGTAGAATGTCCACCTCATCAGGTATGGAAACACCTAGATGATCTCTAATCGCATCCAACTTTTGATGGGATGGGTCTTCGTATGGAACTTCCTTCTCTATATCACCCATGAATTTGTCGAGGTTACGCCTCAATCTAGCCAATATAGATTTATCATTGTGGGCGATGCTTACTATGTCGTCGACCTTGGAATATACATCAATTATACACTTATCTTTTTCAGCATCAACCTCCCCATAACGAACTCTTGTGGATTGTATCTGTACTGAAACTAACTGTCGTTTCCAACGATGTAATACGTATTTTTCCGGAATGCATTCAACTTCGTCGTTTATCAGTACCTTAAACGCGTGACGACAAAGATACCCGTTATGCGTAAATAGGTTGCAATCGCATTCGACTGTGTTTGTTGAGTAATTACGGCACACCTGTCATGTCAGAAGGGTAAAAACAACAACAGTTAAGATAAAATTAAAAAGCATAGTAATCATTGTGTTGTGAGTTAAGGACATGATACCAGATACGTAATGTTGTCAGATGATTTCTTGGTCTTGTGGCTTATCACGAATGACTTTAAATCATCCCGGCATTCGACGGTCTCAATAGCACAAAACCAAACATCCTTCTTTATTTCCTTTTGGATGTCAAAAAACACGTTTCGACTGTATATGCTTGATGCATGACTTTCTAAACGCAACGGAGTAACAAACTTTGGATTAGTCGTTCTCATGACAGTTTCGTGAATAGATTGTCTGTATATTTGTTTCTCTATAGTTACGTCATAATTATTAAGGAATTGAACCAAATCAAACCAGTACGATTCGTATATGTTAATATACGAATTCGAACTCTCAGATCTTGATGATGTTTTCATTAGTCCAGACATCGGCATGTCCTTATAATAGGCAGTAATCCATGAGTGTCGAATTTCATACATCTCTGTGAACCAAGTATCCCTACCTAGATTGTATTGATCTATCATCTCATGCCAACGATTCTCGAACTCCGTTGGGCTAATATGTATATTCCATACGAGCTTGTTGATAACTTTATTGAAGTTAGGATCGTGATTTAGTGCGGCACTAACCTGTGTTTACAATGCTTCAACAAATGAACGAATAACACGAAAACCTCATTTAAATACAATAGAATTCAAAATATACTACTTACCTTTGAAGGCACCTTCTTCATAATGTGCCACATACATAGTCTATGTTTGGCTTCCATGAAAACCATCGGAATAGCCTGCTTCATTGCCAAACATTGGTCTGTAATCACGAACAATGGTTGCTTATCATGACATCTTAGAAAATCCTTTAGAACCCATGAAAAGTTATCAATTGTCTCGCCACTTATAAGAGCAGATCCGACAACAACGGACGCCTTATGATTGTCAACAGCCAAGAAAGGAACGAAAATCATTGCATGCCTGGAAAAACATATCAAATATTATGCGTATGTATTTGTAGCCACATCATATGGCAAGAAAAAAATCAAAACGTCATGAAAAGCAAGAACTATATTGCACTTGGGAATCTTACTTGTTAGTGCGAAAGGTCCCGTCAAACGATATGACATTCTTTGTAGTTAATTCTAGCAACTTCATCTGCCCAGAAAATTGCGCTCAACTCCTGTTCATTGCACTTGTATTCGGAAAAAAAAAACCGGGGACAATATCTCGTCTGTTTGATAGTTTATTGATCAACATCTTCGCGTCCTTATTCCCAACACAAGCAACAGCATCCCTTTTAAAATTCTTGAAGTCGATTTCAGAGAATCGAGTATGTTCAAATCCCCCGTTCAATGCGGTTTGAATACGTTGAGCCCTTCTTGCACCAACTTTGTAACTCAAGCTATTTAGTACAGTTTTGAAGTCTGTATACTTCATCTGTCTATTCCTCCGAGAGAAACGACGATCATTAATGTCGAACAATGCATGGTTATGTGCCTCAACAAACTCATATATCTCGTAACAAGCCATATCCTTTGTCAAATGTATTTTATTACATGCATTACAACCACAACGTTTGAGGTTTGTATTGTGTTATCTCCTATCACCGGCATGCATCTCCAACGAATCAAAATCCTTTTTTTTGGGTTTCCCTCCCTGCTGCAGACAAACCACCTAGTTTGAATGTCGCCGTGCTTGTTTGTATTTTTTGCATGAATACGAACATCAAAGCCGGCATTGTCCGTGTAAGCCCTGTACATCTTTTCAACCTCATTTATTGATGCATATTGTGCGTTGGTCTTTGGCTTAAGCGCGTCATCAACCTTTGGGGTAAAAAACTTTATTCCTTCTGAACTCTCGCCTATATCATAATCAATTTCTTGTTGTGAAGAAATTATATCATCAAGACCTGATGTAAAACAAGTAGTTAGTCTTTGAGGTTAAAGTTAGTATAACATGAATGGATGGATAAAGGGCAACAACCAAGGGGGTATAGTGAACTCACAACAACTTGAAATATATATCTTGTTTGCTATGTCAAACATATGAAATACTAATTAAAAACATCAATAACCTACAAATAGACAATTTATCTATGTACCTACAGCGCGTTGATATCAATGTTTCCATGTTCGGCAACGTAAGAAACAAAATCTTTTTGCTTTTGTATAACATAACACTTGGGAAGTTAGTATCTGTTGAATGAAGTGGTTGTCAAGTAACACAACAAAGTGACAAATTCATGACCCTACACACTACATAATGATCTAACCACTTGTATATTATAAGGAGCAACCTATGGTGGGATATGCAAACATATATCACCTGACGTAGTGTACATGAACGGCTGTCGTATTGAGGTAGGTGACATGTTAACACAATGAACAGCACCCGTAAGTTCATAATTTTTATCCGAGTGAAGACATGAGCACGTATGCACACAGGGCATCAAATGAAGTTTGTGCACATGTACGTAGTTTCACACGTATTAGCCGATTCTGTTTGTGTACGTATATGACAGTTCTCTTCTAGATTGCGTAAAAAATGTGTGTGCATCTGACCATTTGAATAAGTGATTTGTCATTACATTATCTTAAAATGATGTAGGCAGTTAAAACACCTAGAAATGGATGAAACGCAAAGGAATCAGCTAATATAGCAGCTATGATGGACAGTCAACGTAGTCACTTAAGATAGTGTACTCCATTTCACCGTTGCCGAACGAAATATTAACTATGATGGACAGCTGTTCACAGCAATCACGAAGCCTGGCCATATATCTCATGTGAACTAATTGTGCATATGTATCGATATGAACAACGACATGACATACTACCCAAAATCCTTATTCAAATCACAACCGTTAGATGTTCAAATCAACGACCAATATCGGTTAACAAAGTTAACACGATAATCTTGGTTAGATGTTCAAATGAACGACCAAAGATCAAGTAACAGTTATTCACAGCTCTCACATAGCCTGATCATATGTTCATGTTCACTACTTGTGCATATGTATCGATATGAACAACGACATGACATACTACCCAAAATCCTGTTCATATTCATGTGATGTAGTTAGCATGTGTATCGATATGAACATATTCGGCCTGCGCTATGTGTTCATATGTTGTGTGTGTCCTTAAGTCTTATTATCTCATGACATGTGATGTAATTGTTCATGTGTGTCAATATGAAAATCTAATGCATTTCATACAGCTGACCAGTAATGAATCATAACATCTATGCCTATTTGATTTGTGCAGTTTCATATGTGTTAATGCTTCACTATAATGTTACTGCCTTGCATCTTGCATATGAAAATTGTTGCTTAAACAGCAGTAGAGTGGATTTCTATCTTCAGTACGAACCTCATCCTTCATCATTACAGAACTTGAAACATCTTTTTCAAAGTATGCTCTTTATAAACCCTAGTTGGTTTCCTAACTGATTGTTTTAAATCATGTCACCAAAATTATCTTTACAATGGTAATAGTTGTTCAATTAAACATAATAAATGTCATATTAATCACTTACCAATCGGCACGCTTTGATCATCTTCTTCATCATCGGAATTCGAATTCCGACCGTAGTCGTATCCGATTTTAATTTTGCCATTTCCATTGTTATCAATATGATTTAGAATATTATTATCCATATTACTCGAACGATACGAAAATCTTTTACACTTACAAAACGAATATCATTATATGTAGAACATCACTTGAAATCACGAACATGAACATGAATGAGATATAAGTCAGAATTACCTACCGATCAATTAGAGGGATCTTCAAGATTTGTAACTCCCAATTAAATATCAGGGAATTACATAAAGGTTAACTTACATAATCGCCCTTATATTTAATTTATAGGTTACATTTGAACATAAAGTAAAGAAAGAATATGATTGGTTAGTTTTGGTTAGTATAGTTAATACAAAATTCTTGGTTAGTATTTGAACCAACCTCTATATATATATATATATATATATATAGAGAGAGAGAGAGAGAGAGAGAGAGGAGCGATCAAATGAAAACCACCCTCATTTGTACAAACCATACAAATCACCCTCATACGTCGATTTCATTGTTTAATCTTATGAAATTTTTTCATGTAATTGTTTAATCTTGTGAAATTGTTTCATATAATACTTTTTTTTATGTCAAAAACCATGAAACTACTTTTATTAATAAAATAATAATATTCAGGTCTTGAAATGTTTTATTGACTAAATCATATTTGGTTTTATTAATAAAACCAATTTCATCTTAACTATAAACCATGCCGATTCCATTTTGGTTAGGAAACATGAAACAAATTTAAAAATAAATAAAATATTATTATTCAGTTCTTCAAGTGTTTCATTGACTGAACAATATTTAGTTTCATATGCAAAACCAAGTTCATCTTGGTTAGAAACCATGAAACCGATTTCATTTTGATTAGAAAACATTTCAACAAATTTCATTGCTGAAACAATGTCATTCAGATTTTGGAATTGTGGAGTCCATGAAACTAATTTCAATGATGAAACGAATTTTATTAACGAAAACATGTTATTCAGATTTTTGAAAAATGTTTCATTGACTGAACCATATATGGATAAAATTTCATTATGGAGACGAACAATGAAACCAATTTCACTAATAAAAAACTGAGATACAGTTTCCACAATATTTTTTTGATGAAACCAATTTCACTAATGAAATCGTATTATTTTTAAAATGAGAAACAGTTTTCAAATGGAAGTTAAAAATGATTTGCCAATTTTGCCCTTTCTTGATAAAATATTAAATCTTTTATTTTATTTTTTACTTTTATAATATAACACATTTTAATTATGACCATTGATCAATAAAATGGATGGATAAGATTGGTTTGTAGGGTTTGCACAAAAGGGGTGGTTTGCATTTGATCGCACCTATATATATATAGACTTTGGATCATGTGAGACCATGGGTATTTTGTGAGACCCGTAAGACCAATTCTCAACCTTGGATCTACAATCTGAACATTCATAATCATAAAATTGCCACGAGACTTCTCGATAATCACAAAATTGTCACCGTGCAACTTAAGACCATTATATCATTAGCTTATAAAGTTGATCAATGAACATAAATTGGTCTTATGGGTCTCACAAAAAACCCTTGGTCTCATGTGAACTCAACCCAATAAAACACATGTGCATGGCAAAACTGTATTTCTAATCGGGTTATTGTGAACCAACACAAAAAACCGAGTCAACCCCTAAGGACAATAAATATCCAAGCCATCTCATGACGATATTTGAGTTCCCACTTGACTCGACATCCAGTAAATGAAATCTGAAGCTCCATCTTCAATTCTTGTTATATTTTAAGGAAACAAAATACAAGATATAATATAGTACTTTTACATTCTCAAAAAAATATTATTATTACAAATCCTCAAGGGGTAAAAATCTTGCTATTCACCCACAAATAACATATAAACCATTTATATATGAAAAGCAACCATTACAACCATAATGCAAGAAAAAGGTTGTAATAAAAAATTGCTAGGCCAAAAAAAATTCATAACTTTTCTAACAAAAGAAAAGTGTTCATTTTCTTTTGATCAAGAACATACCAAAAAAGTTCTTGATTAAAAAACGTCTTCTAAGCCATGCATGATTGGCTTTGATACCACTGATGGAGTTTGTAGGAAACATAAAACAACATATCAAATATAGCAATGAAGCATAAAATAAACCTATAACAATTTAAAAAAAAAAACTCACAAAGGAAACTAATATAAATATTTTTTCCATATAAATTTTATATTAAAATGTAAAACTAATATAATTATTGTCTTACATAACAAATTAAGTGTACATTTAATACAAATGAAATACAGGGTTGTTGTAAAAACTTGATCCTGGTTATCACTCAAGGTAAATAATATGTAATTATCTGATTTAAATGATTACATGATAGTATGATAAATTGTTACGTTTGATCATGCTGGGATGTGAAAATGTGCATAATATGAAATGCATATGTTATATATTTATATGTATGTATGGTATATATATATATATATATTTTTATATATATATACATGGTGTATGTATGCATGCATGAGAGTTTTGTGAGAAAAAAGGGTTGTGTTAGCCGCCTTTCCTATTTTGGAAAGTATAAAAGGGAGGCTGAGCCTCCATATTTTCTCTTCTTGCTTTTGAGTTCCTTGTTGTGCGATTTCAAAGAGAAGAGAGGTTGACCGGATTATTTCTCGTTTGGAGATTCAAGTTGATTTCAAGTGTTTGATTTCAAAAGCTTGTTAAGGTGAGTAATTTTTAAACTCTTTTTGCATAAAACTTTTACTTGTTTTATATGAATCTTGTTTATTATTTGAATGAAATCAAAGGATTTTGCTTAAGGATTTTGTCTGGACAAATCTTGTCCGGATTGTTTTAAATCGGTCAAAGGTTGGACGATGTATTATCCGGATTGTTTTAAATCGGTCAAAGGTTGGACGATGTATTGTCCGGATTGTTTTAAATCGGTCAAAGGTTGGACAATGCATTGTCCGGATTGTTTTAAATCGGTCAAAGGTTGGACGATGTATTGTCCGGATTGTTTTAAACCGATCAAATGTCGATCGGGTTATGATTGGTAAGAATAG